AACCAGACATGCTAACCAATGGACTAGAACAGAAGACCTAGAAATAAAACCACACAGTGCAGCATCTTTTCATGGCAGACAGCTTGGCTTTCCTGTTTCAACGTTTTCCCCGTAAGCACCATTCCTTGCTCTGCTAGATCTGAGAGGCACGCCTACAAGGTTGAAGAGACACTCTGTGGCCATGCTTCCATCCACCACATGGTCTCGCGTCCCATGGCCCTGCTACTGTGGTAGTGGTAACGACACCGGCCTCTGAACCAGGGCTATATCCTAAATGCCCGAACTCCCCATACCCTGCCCTGTTTCTCAGGTGAACAGCGCTGGAGACCTCCTGCCCAGTGCTCTGAGTGCTGGGCTGAGTGTTCTGGTCCTCAGATCTTGCTGATAATAACAATCGGTGCCATGGCATCTGTCCAGCTCTGCCCCTTGCTGGTCCCTCAGCATCATACATCATTGACAGAGGACTCACCCTCACTGGCTTGTCACTTCCCCTTCAGCCCAGTCTGCCCCACACTCAAGTCTTAGGGTGGAGCAAGGTGTCTTCTGCTGGGCCTGGGGCAGTATAGGACAGGCAGTTCCAAATGCATGTCATCCTGATGGTCATGGCTCACAATTCCAGCCATGCTGCAGGGAATTTAAGACTTCAGAACATAAGACCATACTAAGAAATGACAGATGCATGCTTGTATTTGCAGAAAAATACCTGATTTTGATCTCACAATGGGGGAACTTTGAGTCTAGCTGGCTCAGCATTCTTAGTGTGAAGAGGAGAGCCATGTGTCAGATTTATGGTCCCCTTAATCTTTGGATCTCCCAGAAGCAAGGAATATCCACAGTGCCATCATTATTAAATCACCAGGCACCCTACACCTTTCAACCTGCCACAGACGATGTTAACAGGAAGGAGAGCTAAGTGGTATTCCCAATCTCAGCACAGGTAACCCAGGTCAAAAGCATCCTGGAACCCACGGTCAAGTGCAAATGTCAGAAATCGCCCCTGGACACTGAAAAAGAACATAACTCCAGGGAGGTGGGCCTTGGTCAGCTGAACCACATGGTTTCATCGGTATGCTGTTCAGACCAAAGAGCATCTGATTTTCCCAGACTTGCTGCCTCGGGCAGTAAGTGCTTCTGGTCCGCACTGAAATTACAGCAGAGGAGAAGGGAAATGGTAACTCATTCTCTAGAGCCAAGGTGGACTAGAGGGACTGGATGCAGTTGGGAGGGCGAGGAGTCAGAACAGCAGTCATCTGGGTTTAGATTCTGTTCTGAGGACGAGGAAGGCGCTGCTTCTCAGTGGGCTGTGGTCCTGGTGAGGACCACAGGGTGGCAGTGAGGTTGGAGGTGTTGGTCTTCCGGCAGGTCCAGGAGGGGCTTTGAGTCTCTGCTTCTCCCCTCTCTGAGGGTCCTGTATGACCAAATGCACTTGTCCTGCCTCTGGCCACACTGGGAAGGTGGCCTTGCCACCCTGCCACTTCCCAGACCTGGTGCTTCGTCCTGCTGCAGAAACACAGGTCTGGCTGTCACAGACAGGGGAGGCTGTGGTGTTGGCACATGTCCTCTGCCCCCCACATCTGGCTCAGTCCTCAGCCACTGTCCTCAGCAGTAGGTCCTGCACGGTGTCCACACCTGAAACACGGTTGGTTTGTGAATCTGTCTGCCTCAAGCCCCGGCAGCACCTGGCTAGCTCACTTGGCTTGGAGACTTCCGGGAGCATCTCCAACACCACTGTGGGCACTCATGGCCTTGGGCACTCTGGCGGCCAGGCTGCCTTAATCACAGCTCTGGCGTCCCCGGTGGATTTGTGAGGTTTTCTTCCTAGTCTCTACTTACTTTTTACCATTCTCCCTTTCTTCACAACCCCTTCCTCTCGTCGTCCTTCTCAATGACAAAGGAGATGATGGGAGCCATGAAAGGCCATTTGACACAAGTTCTAAATCAGGAAGATAGATTTATCATGTAAGGTGCACAGCAACAGTTTGTAACACTCAATGGCTTTTCACAGCTCCATTCAGGGAACCATGTCATTTTCCCTCGGGCTCCCACTTCCTTCTCCTTTGAGTTTGATGACAGCATCCTCAGGGAACCTAAGACATCCTGAGTCACTGGTCAGAGTCACAGTAGAGGACCGAGTGGCCTGGGACCTTGTGGGTAGGGAGGGGTCTGTGGAATTGCTGGTTCTCCCTGTTGTCCCTGATTAATGGATGGGTGCCTTGGCAAAGTCCAAAGATCATTTCCAAATGTCAGGAGAAGTCACTGGGCCTGCTGGTGGGTTTTGAGACTTTCCTGGCTGGCTACATCTGGAATTCAACATGGTTGATGGTATTGAGGTAAACGCAGCCTCTCACCCCATCACTCTGCCTGGAGCCCCACTAAACACCTGTGAGATTATTAATGTGGTCCCAGCCTCTGCAGTCAGACTCACTGGAGCAGTGGACAGAGGGACATCCTCACAGGAAGGTTTTCAAGAGGCCCGTGTGGTGCATATTCGAGGAGCAGTTATCACTGGGACACCATCCCCACAGGTCTGGATTACTTCTTGAGGTCTGGTAGGCACAGGTGCTGGGTTCGTGGGTGATGGTCGGTGTGTCTTCCTGTAGAAGCCTCTTCCTCCTATCCATACAGCACCGTGCCCTCTCCAGAACAGACCGTACGCTTCGTGCTGTCCTGAAGATGTGACCCAGCCAGTATCACCTGCCCCCTGTGCTTTGCTCTATGGGGACTGGTCTCAGGACTGGACACCAACTTAGAACTGAGTACAGTGATGACTGTGGATTAATGTCCTCTGTCCAGAAGTAGGAGTCCAGAACCTGCTGTCAGCCCCCAAACCCTGGAAAGCAAATTTATCAGGATGTGCATAGGGCACAAGCTCAGGACCCTTCGGTGGCAGGGACGCCAGGCTCTGCGTCTGCATATTGTGTTCTCAAGATGGCGCCAGCCACACTGTGAGTGGAAGGAATGACTTAGTCACTAACTTGGATGTTATTATTACTAAAAATGCTTTCGTTTTCCTTTTTAGCTATAAATAGCTAGATTTATTTTGAGGTATAAAATATTTCATTATTCTGAAAACTTTTACTCACAGCTGGTTACCCACCAAGTAACCAACCTAAGTATTTCTGGTTCCCTGTGGGGTGCCCTCCCTCAACTAGCCCGTGAGTCACGTCAGTTTTTACATAAGGAAAGTGAACTTTTAGGAGTAGGTGACAATAATTCATCTCTGTGTCCCCCATATCTACCCAGTGCCTTCTGTGGAGTGGGAACAGCAACTGAGGAGGAAATAAATACCAGCTGCAGGGGCATCCTTTGAGCATCGTTTGAGCACCATCTACAAGGAAATCTTTTCAAAAGTGTACCCCCAAGCAGCCGTCCTCCCTGACCACTTCCAGCCCTGTCTTTAGGACGAAGGCACTGATGTTGAAAGAACCCCGTGATTTGAACGGAAGTCCCCCCTCTCCATTCCTTCTGCTATCCTCAGCAATTTCTCAGTTTCAGACACAGAAATGGATGTGAGTTCACGGGGGATGATTTTCTCTTTTCTTCCCCTTGAATCAAGTTTTTAGAAAATGAGCAACCAGTATGGGGCATTTTTGATTGGAATAATAGAGACTTGGAATGAACCAGCAGTTGTCATGTGATAATTTATACCTTGAGAGATCATGTCATTTTTACTCAACTCTCAATAGTAAGTTTATTCTAGTGCTTAATGTTTTTTGTTTGATTGTTCTTTGTTTCCTGCACATCTAATAACAGACCTTGATACCATTAATATTGGTGTGTCTGTTAATTTTTTTGGAAGGGAATGATGAGCAGACTGAATCTTCATTGTGAGGCAGGCTAAATAGGCACTGGTGGCTTGAAAATCAAAGCAAGCCGAGATCAGGAGTTCGAACTCAGACCTCATACTGGGTAATCTTTTAAGAAGAGCACACACATTGACTTTCCCCACCGCACCTTCCAATTGAATTACAGTGATAGTCAAAATAAGGTCTCTAACCGTGTACCAGGTGTGTAATGCACCCCAGCACCAGGACTGCTTGGCACAGCAATTCTTCTGATGAGAAGAATGGTCATAAAAGCTACAAGAAAAAGGCTCCCACCTCACAGGATCCTTTGATTGATAAGGACATAGGGAGTTAGGAAACCTGATGGCTGAGAATGATGACTTAGGTATTGATAAAAAGTCACTTCCTGGCCTGCGGACTTAAAGGAATGACTCAACAGGGTCTCGTTGACCCAAAGCACCTGTATTCTATAAAAAAAGGATAACTCTAGTCTGACTGTCCGAGGTCAAGAACTCCTCTGGACATGTGGATGGAATTGATGGTGTGCAACCCAGCCTCAGGAAGTTGATGACACAGTAACTGTTTTCCGGGACTGAGTACCCCCATGTCGGCAGACTCCAATAAAAACCTGAGGTCTTGGGGCCCCCAGCACAGTGCTCCTTCTTGAACCTGCTCACTCTCCCATCTGGCAGGGGTGCTTGTGCTTTGCTCACTTTTAGTCTTCTCTGTGTACCTCCTTGAATTCTTTCTCTAGTGAGACCAAGAACTTTCTGGTCCCTGGACTTGGTGACCCAAAGTCAGTGACAGTCCTATGTTATAGGTAATTATGCTTACATCACAATGGCCAAAGACTGAGGCTGGAATCCCAAGAGGTCCCTTTTATCTTAATCTATCCTAACCCCATTTCTGACGAGGACTTTAGCTCTAGCATCAGAGACCTCAATTCACAGGATGGATCACAGTGCTTTTTTCCCTGTGTTTTGCTGAAGACCGCATTTGAGAGCAAATATCGTCTGTTAGTCACTTGCAGTGACACTGGCAAGGTGATGGATGCATGTGAGCTTCAGTGCCTTGTTTGTAGAATGGGGTAGTTGGACCACCTTTGGGGCACCTATGAAAACTGGAGGAGCTGTGTGTGTGGAGCACCAAAGGGAGGATCTGCTCCTCCAGTGTGACCGTCCACGAGTGTCCCCCCCTTCTGCCCAGTCATGTTACCTCTTCATGGTGCTGTAGAAGGCATTGTCCACCATGAGCCTGCTGGCTTCCACGATGCTGGTGACATGGGACTTCCCAGTCTTTCCTGTGGAGTAACATACAGCAAGACGCCATCAGAAGCTCAGTGTGTAACTCTGCCCAAGTCCTGCTGGATGTGGTGACAGCCAGGAGGATGCTAGGGCTGTAGGATGAGGGTCACCCGAACAAGCCTGTGTCCCCCCAGGATGGGGTGCTGGTCCCCTCACAGAGCTATGGAGAGTGGGTGGGGATTTGTCCCACATCACTGCTCAGTGGCTCAAACCACTTCTAATGACTCTGAAAAGCTTTTTCTGTGAATGTCTTAGTCCTTTGTGCCAGAGTGAAGTGCATGATGATGCTTGCCTATTAACCCGTGGATTTGGTAAATTATTCAACTATTTCAGAAGGTTCCAGTGAAATCCCCTTATTGCATTTTCATTTGTAAACACTTGGAACACCGGTAGATCAAGGGGCCCTTTCTGGGTCAAAGGGCGGCCACTCCTGTCACTAGGATGGCTTTTCCATAACCAACACCGTATCAAGGGAAATGCATTTGTTAGTAAATACCAGAATTTTTTTGAACATTACATCTGTATAGAAATAGAGCTACCTTTGAGCAAGCAACTTCTGGTGTTTTTAAAATGAAGTGGACAGCACAGTTCAGAAAACATCAGATCGCCGAGTAAGCCTGGCAGATTACGCTCCCTGACAGCCTCTGTCCTAAGTATTGAACTCGTGATTTTGACACAAGATGACACAAAGTGACTGGAAGCTGTTGGACAGTCTGAGACACTCCGACCACAAGTCCAAGGCCAAGGCCACACCAGTCCTCATCTTGGGGTGCAGTGTGCTCAAGAACCCCTCATTCTCGTCTTGCTTCCTCTAATCCCACTGCAGCTGCCTGCTCAACCTGACCTGTTTCTGCTTCTGAAATCAGCTGCAACCCCATGTTTGTTGATGGGGAAGTCTCCCATCCCTGGACTTGGGTGGGCATCGCTGGCCTTCTTCTCTCAGGGAGGCCACACAACTGGGCTCTGGAGTTAGGCCTGCATTTGAGTCCCTTCTCTAAGACACATCGTCATGTACCTGGTGACACAGGTGACCAGTGTTCTCATGATGAGCAAGGCTATGTCTCAGCTTTACAGCTCGGTGCAGAGGGCCTGGGGATCCCCAGGGCTCACAGGACACTGGAGGTTTTGTTTCTAACTGTGGCCATGTCTGCGACTCCCCAGTTCCTGGGTTCTCTTCCCCCACTGTCTCCTCCTCCAAGTGTTGCCCCGTGGGTGTGTTTGGCTCTTCTGGCTGTTATTTCTCTTTTCACCCTTCCCCCAAATACCCATCTTTAACTTGAATTTTGCTCCTGAATCCTGCTAGTGTTCAGGGCCTTGAACACTGACCTGAGTCAAGTGCCAAAAAGAGACATGGGCATGCTTTCTCCTCCCTCCTTGGTCCACGTTGTGCCTCCTGAAGATGACTGCACCCCTCAGGCCACTCTCTCTCTCTGAGGGGGAGCTCTGGCTTCTCTGAGCCCATTTTACCATTCCTCCATGGTGGTGGCATAGGGTGGCTTTCTAAACACAGACGTCAGGCCAAGTCTCCCACTGTAGCACCCAGAGACCCCGATCCCACAGTGTGACGTCCAGACACCTCACCATGGATTTCAGGGCCTTCACTATCTGGCTAGCACAGGTGGTCACGTTTCAGTGCTTAGTGTGATGATCGATTTCTCCCTCATCCTACAAAACAGTCAACCTCAAGTTCCCCGCCCATTCATGTCCTCCTTCAAGATGTGTCGATGTCCTGATCTTTAGATACCAGAAGAAAATGATCAATGTCTCACCCTGTCCCCTAGACACTCATAGCCTGTCACCAAGAGCTGCTTGAGGACCAGGCAGTGTGGTCTCTACCATCTGCCATTTAGGACCTGATCAAGGCTGGGTTTTACAAGGTACTTGTCATGGTTTAAGGACCAGCTAATTAATCATAAAGAATCAAATGTGAAGAAAAACGTTTGCGTGTCTCCACTGTCCTAAGGAGTGGCAGTTGCTAGAGAGAAGCTCTTGAGCTATTGACCAATATTCAGATATTGGCATTTAAGCTTAAAGATCATATATTGCTTGTTCTCCAGATTCTTTCACTAGAAAATATTTGACTAAATCTTAAAGGAAGTTTTATTACCTTACAGTTTATAATTTCTTCATTTTTTTCCTAAGAAATATGTTTTTGTGTTGAAAAATTTTCCCCAGAAAAATACAGCTCTCCCTTACAAGTATCTCAGATCGCTTCTGTAATGGCCAGATTTTAGTTCTTTGCTTCTTGACTGACTGTAAATGGGGCATCCATCTGTAGTGGAGGAAAGAAACCTCCCTCTACACCTGAGATTAATTTTCTGGGGCCAGGTAAATTAGATGGGCAAGAGAGATTACCAAGAGAAAACAAGCTTATCGGTGCTGAACTTGCAAGGGGGCCTCCAGAGGCCAGCGAGCCAAGGGCCAGAGGGAACTCAGCCCTTGCTGCAGCAGAGGGAAAGAGCAGCTCAGAGGAGAGACTTCAGGGGACAGGGGCTGTGACTTCCCACAGGACACACTGGACAGGCACATTCATGGCCCTGCCTGCCAGTGGGCTTTGCGATATTGGTGTCCCTGGACCCCTGGGTCTGGAGACATATCTGGGATGTCACTTCTGTCCTCCATGAAGATGAGGAGGGGACACTTTGCAAATGTGTGTCCTGCTTTCTGGCAGGTTGAGGGAGGCCCAAGAGCTTTCCTCAGACTCTTTTCAATGCTTCAGCTCAAGGTCATCCTTGTGCCCCTGAGGGGTGCCATGGCGCCATGTTCTGATGTTCTGACCCTGCCACACCCCTCACCATTCTCCCATCTTTCCATTCTGCCTCCTCACTGCCTCTTTCAGTTCAGAACAGAGGATCCTACCAGAGGATCAGCTGAGAAAATGAACCCAGCCTTTTCTGGGTTTTTCCAGAACTGAAAGTAAAATTCCTGACTTGGGTCATTGACCAGGAAACACTGTCTCCTGACTCTCTGTGCACACCTCCTGGAGGTCACTTCTGCTCTGATGGGGTACACTGACCCCCAAAAGGACCCCCCTCTCATGCATGTTCATAACACATACAAGGGCTGGGATTCAGGAAGCCAAGAAGCAAGAAAATACCATATTTTAGGAAAAAGAAGGAAATTACTTAGTTTAAAAGTGTTCACGAAGACGATGCCAAATGAAATGAAACAGAGAAGTCAAATCTTCCTCCAAATCCACAAACCACACCAGGCTCCCCAGCTGTGCCCTGACTAACTCCGAGCCCTTGGCAGTTGCACAGAGCTGCTTTTAGATCCTGTTTTAATAATGTCTGTTTGCCGAAACCCAGTGAGCTGGAAAAGGGCTTGTCCACTTTCCTTTTTAAATACGTTCCCTCATTGTGCAGCCATCCGCCAGTCCCCCAGCTGCAGGTGGCACCTCCACTCCCTTGTTCACTTGGGTCTTAGTTTACCAGCTGTGACTGGAACGGCTGCATAAAGGTAACTGCACAGAGGTCTTCATTTTGCACAAGCAGGAGAAAGGCATTTCAGTGTGGCAGTGAGAACACAGGGCTCCAGGATGCATGCTGTGTCCAGGTGTCCTAGATGGGGCTTCCATCGACTTGTTCTTAGATCTACAATGGTCATAAAGTTGTGTCTTCACTTTCTCGGGGCTGAAGCTCTTTTTCTCTGGCTTGGGTCCTCTGGGACGGCCGTCCCTGGCAGTTCAGTGCAGAGGGAGCTTCCAGTGGCTGTGCTTCCCAGAGCCTGTGAGCACGTGGATGCCACCCAACCATGTGGGCCAGTGGTGTCACCATTTCCTGAACGCACTTGCAGTGTGCCCATGGAGAAATGTAACTAGTGGAAACAGGTTTCAAAGACAGCTTACCAGTGAGCATTAATTTTGTTTCAGAGCTGCTGCTGTTTCGTTGACAACCAGAAAAAAATCTCATATTAATGAATGCAAAATTGAATCACTGTGAGACAAATCATAGTGTATAAATAAAAAATTTATAAAGTAAATGAGCAATAAGCCAGCTTGGAAATGTCCTAGGAAACAGGAAAATGCGCTCCAAAGTGCAGCATAGTATAAATGCTGCATTGTACGTTACCTACATACTCATTAAAATTTAAGCAAAATAGTCAAATCTCTTATAGACGGAGAAATAATTTTAAAAAGTTAGTTGTAGAAAAGCTATAAATATCCCATGCCATGATTTTTTTTTAAAAGGATGCGTTCTAAAGTTTCAAAACATGGTATACAGGCAATTGTTCTATTGCATTGAATAGGTCACAGGTATAACAATTTATTCGTAACCAGCTACATGACTTCTGACTTTTGCAGAACAAGGGCCCTGGTAAACACGAAACAGGAGGTGGTTAATTCTGTGATCGCGTGGGGAGCTCCTGTTAGGTTTGCATGTTGGCGTGACTGCATACCGGGTAGGAGTGTGTTCTCTTTTTTTGAGGGTTTAGAATGAGCTCCTGTTTATGCTTTCCCTTGTCCTGGCCAGCTGCAATGCACTCCCTACATCAGTGCTTGCCAGGAGTGAGTGTGGTGGTCAGTTTTCCAGTTTTCTCCACTTATAGGTGAGGACCTGGAGTTAGAGGGACAGGGTCATGCCCACTGGACCTGGCCAGGACGCCATGGGTAGGGGCTGGCCAGCTTTGCTGATCCCAGGATGGTGAGTTACCAGCTGGGGCCCTGAAAGACTGGAGGGAGATGTTTTCTCAGAGTGCTGGGGAAGAAGCCAGCGTGGTCTTGAGATCCTGGCAGTAAGAATAGGACAGAATGGCTCCCAGCAGGAGGCATAGCCAGTATGGTGGAAGATGACCAGGGCTCAGTGCTGGGCTGTCCTGAGACACAGGAGCTGTGGAGTCTGGGGAGCTGATCACAGAGGCCACAGGCAGCAGGATGGATGCAGTGATGCCAGGGGCAGGGGCCTTTGGGGGACAGCTGAGGTGTGTAGGTGTCCTTCCCCACCTTGGCCCTCCCTCGCCTCACAGGGCTTACTCTCAGGGGCTGGTGCTGTCTTTTCTTTTTTAGTAAAGAGCAATTATGTTTACCACTACATCTCAGTAGCTTGCTTAACAATTTCAAATTGCAGGTTACAGTTCCAGAAAATATACCACAGACCTGATTTAATGGAAAATGATTTTGTAGCAAAGGAACAAAAATATGCAGAAGAAATTCCCCCTTCCCCCAATAAACATGCAGGTAAAATGGAAATGGCTCTTTTTGCAATCATAGGAAAATTCACTCTTTTTTTTAAAGTTATATCTTAATCCTTCTAAGCTTGAAAATTATATTTTGCTCTCTGAAAATCACAACAATACACACTAAAATATCTTCACTGAATCTTAGTAACTGCCATCCTGCTGTTTGATGAGTGTGAAAAATAACCCCCATCAAGAGATGGGGTCTCATTTGATACTCACCCCAAAGGAGTTCTTTGGCTGTCAAGATGAAAGCGAAGAAGATTCCGGTGCTGGCCACAGCCAGCATGACGGCCAGGGCTGTGGGCATCTTCATCCTGGAGCTGAAACGGGGTAGAGCAGGTGAACTCACCTGCAGGAGTGAGATCTGCTCAGAGCTGACCACAGCCCCTCCAGCCTCTCCTGAGGAGATGGGGCTCGGAGCCTGGGGCCATTTCTCTGCAGGACTCTGAGAAGCCCCCAACCTGGGAGGTGCACAGGCAGCCTGCAGAGTTGAGCAAGCCAGGTGCCCTGCTATAGATGACATAGGTCTGTCATGGGGCAGCTATAGTCCCTGAACATCTCACTGGTGACCTGCCTTAATCCATGGTCGCATCAAAGAGAGTGAAATCACTGAGATTAATTAGAAAAAAAGATCTATTTCCCCTAATAGATCATGAAGCGATTGCAGAATTGAGTTATTAAGACAGAGCAGAATATCCAAAGTCAGTAGCTTCTACTTTCTTAGTCTTTGACTTCTTACTCTTGGACTTGCTGTAACTATTTCTGAATCCTGCATTTTGTTAAGCAGGGGACACTAACCACAAAATCCCTTGGGGAAGACAGCTCAGTGGACGATGGCTATAAGCTGATCAGATAAGACCCAGCACACTAAGACTAGCACACCTACTGAGACACAGCACGCCTGAGACCAGCACACCTGATGTTCAGCACACCTGAGACCAGCACACCTGATGTTCAGCTCACCTGAGACCAGCACGCCTGACACCAGCACACCTGAGACCAGCACACCTGATGTTCAGCACACCTGAGACCAGCACGCCCGAGACCATCACACACGCCTGAGACCAGCACACCTGAGACCAGCACACCTGATGCTCAGCACACCTGAGACCAGCACGCCCGAGACCATCACACACACCTGACACCAGCACACCTGACACCAGCACACATGCCTGAGATTCAGAGCAACTGACACCTAACATACGAGACTCAGCACATCCGAACTGGTCATGGGAAATGGCATTGCCATCACCTGGCTTTGCTGGGTGAGGAGGCCCAGTGACCACTTTACAAGTTCCAAAGATAGATTCCTCTTACAAAATGGAATTCAAAAGCTTTACAACCTGGCTTTTTTCTCTTCTCAGGCAACGAAGCAGGCGTACATACCTGGGTGCGTTGTCTGTTGCTGTAAACTTCTAGAATGTGAGCCTCGATTGCTACCACAATGTAATGTGAATCTTGATTGCACCCACCATATAAACAGCTCTGCTGTCAGGCCCACTCAAGTGCTAGGAGGGCATGACTTCCTTCTCAGAGGCCACAGAAAGTTTGCATGGCATTGTGCTTGAGCCAGGTTTCCAGTGCACCCTGGCTGTTCAGAAGCAAGGTGCCACACACTGAGGTCCACTTGCAGTTCAGCCAGTGTCCACGTGAGCTAGAAGCACATAGAAAGACGCTTGATGCACTGAGAGAGAGAAAGCCAATCAAAATAGACACTTTTAATTACTACATTTTTGTCTCTGGCTTTTTTGACTTAAATACCGTATGTAAAAGAAGACATGAGTCCTCCAAGTCAGCTGAGTTGGGTGCTGCTCCAGTGCTGGGTGGAGAACACGGCAACCTTGGGGCATCCTGAGCACCCGAGCCCTCCAGTCCTTATTGCTGAAAGAGAGTAAAATACATGCTCCTGCTTGTGTTTCACTGCCTGCCGGGCAAAGGTAAAATGGGAAAGTGCAATCATCAGAAAAGTCAGTTTTTAAAAAGAGTCATACTCTAATCCTTCTAAGCTCAAGAATTACATTTTTCTCTTTGAAAGTCTCCATGAAACACAGTGAAGAATCTCTTTGGCTCTAGTCACTGCCATTCTGCTTTCTGTGTAGTGAGTGTGGAAAATGACTGTTCAGTCAAAGGATCGTAATGCTGACCCTTCTGTGAGCTGACGGCCCACAGTGGGCCTCACCCAGGGACTCAGCCCCATCCAGGGACATCGTCTCTGTGTGGCATCAGCTCTCCTCCCCTTTAGACATTACAGCCACACTGTCTTAGAAACAGAGGTGTAAGTCTAATTTAGATGTTGCAAAGTCTTCACAAAAAGGAAAGTAGACCAAACAAGGAACTTAATGTCAAACTTGTGTATCACTGAAGAGCTCCTTCTCCTGGATTTGCATTTTCTGGACTCCCTCCTACTCATTCATAGCAGAGATGGGGTGAACAGGATAGGAACACTGGAAGTTCCTTATGTTAGAAAAGCCATTTTCTGTTTTGGAATCCCGTGCCTCTCAGCAGCGTCCCCCACACCAGCCCTGGGACTTTCCCTGAGAACTGGAACTGAGAAGTTCTGGTCTCCATGCTCTTTTCCCTGGCCCTGTTGAAGGTGAAACCAGGACTACAAAAAGGAAAAAGTTTGGTGTAGGCAGCTTGCATGCTGGCCAATTTACTCTGTTTTTGATCAAACCGACATATTCCAGAGAGCCCAAGATTAACAGCCTTTGCTCTTCAACTAAACCAGACCATCTTCTACTCCTTATCTCTTTCTGACCACCAGACAACTAAACCTGTCAGCCAAGACTTACAGCTTCAGAGATGTGACACCAGGACACCTGGAGAACCAAGGCTGTCACCTTTTATGACGTAAGCATTTCTGTCATGCATTGGCTGAACCCCTGACATCCCCTTTTAAAAGCAGACATCTTCTCTCAGAAGCGGACGACAGGGCTTTAAGAGGTGACTCTCCCTGTCCTCCTCTACATCTGATGAATAATAAACCTCATTTTCTTCTTTTCAAAACCCTGCTCTTGTTATTTGTGAATTGGCATTGAGGCCACAGGACCGACTTTCCATTAGCAAAGGCAGTGTTGTAAGCACCTCCAGCTTCCCAAACACACGGAGGGGCTTCAGCCACAACAAGGATTTTGAGTTTTAATTTCTTCATTTGCAGCTCTGTGCACCAATCACTAGGCCACTGAAGCCACGAAGTCCCTGACCATACAGGGGCCAATGTGGTCTGTGTGGACACCTGTGCAGCGTCCCTGGGCAGGGTGAGGTGTCCTCCCCAAGTGGAAAGCAGGAAGTGTGTGCAATTCACTGGCCACGGCCATGATGGTTCGTGTCCATAAACTATAATTACTTCACAGGAGCTGAAGCTAATTACAGTCGTGACCTGACCACTCTGGTTTATGTAATTAAGTCAGTAAAAATGCCCAACAGGTTACGTGTCCACACAGCCTCAGCTCCCAGCCAGCTGACACGAAAGGTACCTGTCCCAGGTCATGAAGCCCGGGCTCTCTATGCCCATCTCTGTGGTCCAGTGAGCTCCATGCTGCCCACGAACACCGTGTGACTGACGTCAGGGACTCGGTGGCGTGCGTGACTCCTTTTGCTGCTCCGTGGAGTGTGAGGAATGCTTCGGTCTTCTGAGGAGCTTTCTCATAGTTCCAAGTCCAGGCCATGCCTCATTGCACGCTCATAGAAGGATCCAGAACGTCATCAAGCCCAGCAACCACTAGAATAAATGGACCCCAGACCCAATTCTGCTCACTTGTGGAGTGCTTTCCAAAGTTCTTCTTTATAGAGCAATCCTGAGAAGGGGTTTCAAACAAATCATTGTCCTTGACCTAAGACACATAAGAAAGTTGTATAATTATTCTCAAGTTTAGTGAATTTAAGTTGCTCTAAAAACAATGAGTTACGTGTTCTGATAAACTCAGGTTTACGTGGACCCTAAGACACCCATGCTGGTGAGTGAGGAACAAAAGCTACCTGACTTTTCTGGGGGGTCTGATTCCCAAAGCAGCCTGCTTACAGACAACTAGAAAAAGGAGTGCTTCCAGAGATTTGTAAAAAAAAAACAAAAACAAAAAGACAAAACACACCCTTCTTAAGAAGAAATAAAATAAGATGCTTGACTTTTGTTAAGATGACAAATACTCAAAAGAACCTCCCTGCTTAGTCAGTTCTTAATCACACTCGAAGAGCTGCACTTTCAAAAGCGTTCAGCTGAGGCTCTGTTGTCTTTGGGAGCCCCTGAGCCAGCAGCTCTTCTCAGTGTCCAGAACCCTAAAGGACAGCTTGAGTTGCCTTCCCAGCAGTGCCCCAGGCACAGACCCCGGCCGCTGGAGGACTGTGCGGGAGGACTACTGGCACATAGATGAGGTCCTAGCTGCCACGAATGTCTTCCTAAGGCACACATTTGGCTCGTCAACGTCAGCATAGACAGAAATGAAAGCTCCCCAAGGCTGAGCTCCTGAGTCCCTCTCCCCATCTCCCGCCATGTCTGTACCTGCCTTGCTCCTCAACCCTCACTTCTGCTCTGTCTCTCCGGCTGTCAGTGTGTGCCTCCCAACCTCCATCCATGGCAAAGTGAATTTTCCATCGTTAAACAGTGTGTGATAACCAAATCCAAGCTCGAGTACCTTCCAGGCCTGTGGTCTTTAGAATGACGGCCACAACAAAGATCTGCTTTCTTTAAACAGGTGGCCTCCAAGTTGTGGTCAGCTTATTTCACTCCAGACTCTATGGGCCCTCCCTAGCCTCCCCTCCTGGTTGCTAACAGCAGAGAGGAAACTCATGCTTCTGCACCTGGAAGGAAGATGACCCGGGCCTTGCAAGAGGTTGTGCTGGGGAGATGTATAGAATGACAAAACCTCTGTTTTGTATCACAGGGGCCAGGACCCTGTAGTGAGACAATGGGCCACAACGCTCACTGGTTATTGAGCTCCATAACACACATGGCAGCGCCTGGCGGGGGAGCAGGTCAGAGGCCCACCTTGCTGTCCTGGTCAGGGGTCATGGGCTGCCAGCCAGGCATGTTGAGTTCAGCCAAACCTCTCTGAAAGCAGAAAAGCACATAACCAGCTGAATTCCTCAGCTAAGTTCTTCACATGTCTGACATGAGCAGTCATGAAAAGGAAGGTTTAACAATTTCTCTGGAAAACAAAAATAAATATATTGAGGTTTAAAAAATGTTAGGTGACCAATCCCCACCTCCAGCCGGGCTCAGCGTTGTTAACGTACATGGAAGACAGAACCCACACACATTAGAGCAGCTGGCTTCTCTCACCAGGTGCATTTGTCTATTCTGAGCAGTGAAGGTCC